TGAATTATAACTCTTACCTGATTTTAAGAGCTAACTTCAATTGAACTAATCTATGCATGCCTATTTAAATATATTTACACATGGCTTGTGTATATTGTATATATATAGATATATATTATTCATACCTTCGGTGTATAGGACGCAAGCAGATTTTGACTACAAATTTTGGGGTAAAAAAGTGCGTCTTATACACCGGTGCATCTTATATTCCGAAAAATACAGTATATTCTTTAGTTAAATTATGTCTAAATGTTTACTACATATATGTAGTACAATTAGATGCATTTAATCCAGTTTCACTGAGCTTCTAAAAGTAATATAACAGAAAAATTGTAATTCACTCTATAATCTTTACACAAAATTTGAAGATCATTTGTGGTGTTACTGTTACTGTTGTTTTTACTCTGTCATGATTTTTATGCTGAGAAATTATTGTTTTTGGATTTAGAATAAAAAATGACTCCTATTGACTTCTCTCTGGGTTTATTGGACATAATTTTCTTTCCCTACAGCAACATGACAATTATATTCGTTCTTGCAAGCTCTTGCCTGATGGACGAACCCTCGTTGTAGGGGGAGAAGCCAGTACCATTTCTATTTGGGATCTTGCTGCTGTGAGTTAATTCTGACTTTAGGTGTAGATGTGATAATTAATCCTTTAACTACAATGCTAAAAAATATTCTGTTCCCTGTATTGGGATAGGCAATTAATTTGCAATGTTTCTAATAATTTCCTGTTGTAATTGTTGACCAGAACATTAATGTTTGCAACACATAAAGAGTTTGGTCATGCTTTGTTATTTAGTTACATTAATATTTGGGAACAAGTATTTTATCATAGTAATTTGCTATTTATATTGGATAGTATTAGAGGTGCATATCTCATTATAGTAGTCCATACTATCTAGATATTGATACTGGAATATGATAGAAAAATTTTACCAACTGCTTGTTACAACGTTTGACAGATTTGTTTGTAATTTATTATCTATATTACTAATATTGTCTTATTTAAGTACTTCATACTTTACAGGTTTGATCAACTAAATGGCAGCTGGCAACAGGAGTAAAATATAAGAAAATTAATATCTGTATCTATTTTGTTATTGTTAATTTGTTATATTGCTTTGCATGTAATGTTTTTGATAAAAGAAATGAAGACAACATGTAGTACTCAATATTCATCTTTCTTTATTGAGTCATTAATTTTTAGCAAAAAGACTGAATGTTTACTGAAAACTTGCCAAATTTCATGAAGATACATAAATCGTATGGTATCAGACAATGTATTGATACAATCGTATCATGGCTTCACAATACTCCTATTGTATTGCTGTATCACCACACCTTGAGATAGTATACACTTGCTGATGTTTTGAAAGATATTGCTACTCTAAATAACTGAAAAAAAAATTTCAGTTTTTTTTAATTCATTTTGTTGAAGAATAAGTTATATATTTGATTTCTTATGACAAGAATAGTAAAAAAAAATTGTCTTAGAATAAATTAATGTAGGAAAACTTATTTATTTCTGTACTTTTGTTGGCTAGAGCTTTTATAGATTTTGTAACAACTTGTATAAATATGAAAGTGGGTTTTTTTCTTTGCATTTACAAACAGCCAACACCACGTATCAAGGCTGAACTGACATCTAGTGCCCCTGCTTGTTACGCTCTCGCTATCAGCCCGGACTCCAAAGTCTGCTTCAGCTGCTGTAGTGATGGAAACATTGCTGTATGGGATCTTCATAATGAAAAACTTGTCAGGTATAGCCATCAGATTATTGTTGAGTAGCTTGCAGTTTTTATAATCTGAATGTGCATGTTAAAATTTTAGCAGATGCAAATGTATGAACAGGTGTATGAGTAAACAGTTGTCAAATCATATGAGTGGTTTAGTGTTTTATTACAAATCTAAAAAAAATATATATATGTGTGTGTGTTTTTCTGTACATGAAAATCCAGAGAAACTGGAAATTTGATTATGCTCAGGTATGAGGATTCACACTTTATAGTTACAACAACAGAAAATGAATAAAGGGAAATACACTTCAATTGTTTCTTTTTTTCCTTAACAGACAGTTTCAGGGCCATACAGATGGTGCTAGTTGTATAGATATATCCAGTGATGGAACTAAACTGTGGACAGGAGGGTTAGATAATACAGTACGTTCATGGGACCTCAGGGAGGTATGTGGATTGAAAAGTTATTGCAATAATCTCTTGGATGTAAATTGACTGGAAAGTCAAAAAGTATAGGTTACCAAAATGTAATGAAAAAGAAAACAACTAAACGTTCTGGAGAGTAATTTTTATTACAGTACTGTCAGTGTAATTATAAATTGTTATTCCTGAAGAAAGAATACAACAGTTAAATAAATCTTTATATATCATGGTCAACTTGTCATGGATTATAAGAACAATATAGTTTGTATGCAAATTTTTCTTTTCTTCAACAAACTTAATTTCAGTGAAGAAATGAAAGAATCCCTGAATGATATCGAGACCTAATCTTTTCTTTGAGTCACTACTCCCTATGCAATAGACTATATTTTCATCAAATTATGGCTCCTCAATAATGGTTGGGAGAGCCAATCAAGGAAATACAATGAACTTCATATTGTAGTATTGAAGAGCTGTGATTCAGTGAAACAATAGTCTACTGTAGAGAGAGAGTAGTGAATCACTGAATTTATTATCGTATACTGATTCTTTATTTCTCTTCTTCATTGAAATTGCATGTTTTGGTGAAAAAGGGAAATATTTACAAATAAATTATCAGCTATTGCAGTTGATGACAATGAATAATTAATTGTGTTGGAATATAATGACATTGTTATTCAAACACTGAGGCATTTTAGGTTATTAGTGGTGAGTAAAGGACTTTACATCAAAATCCCAGAAAGTGATATTTATTTTTATTTCAGACTTGCTTCTGTTTAAAATTACTTTCCTGTTCTGTTTTAGGGCCGTCAGTTACAGCAGCATGACTTTACATCTCAAATTTTCTCCCTTGGTTACTGTCCAACTGGAGACTGGTTAGCAGTAGGGTGAGTGTATAGTTTTCTTTCTACTTAATCTTTCAATGAAGTTATGGATGTACTTATTGCATAATGTGAATGAGAAATATCAAATCTCTTAAAGGAACCATCTTAACTCCAGAGGAGTTAACTAAGTTTTCATGAAAGAGGAATTGAAAGATATGTTCTAAAGTTTAAAAATTGAATCAGGTAAAAGTTCGTATGGTTTGTTTGTTATGAACTTTATGCAAACCCACACGAGGGCTATCTGTGCTAGCCTTCCCTAATTTAGTAGTGAAAAACTAGAAGGAAAGGGAAGGCAGCTAGTCATCACCACTCAATGCCAACTCTTTTACAAACAAATAGTTGGATTGACCGTTGCATTATAATGAGAGGGTGAGCATGTTTGGTGGGAGGGGGATTTGAACTTGTGACCATGTCAGGCTGGTTCATACGGAATATGTATTTTAATTGTGAATGTGTAGAAAGTGTTATAAAATTGAAAGGTATTAATAAAATATAGAAATAGAAAGTAGATCTAATTCAAGGACTACTGATTATCAAGGTTCTGTATATCTGAAATATTTTACTTTTAAGTGATGGCACTGTGGATGTCTTAATGTCACACATCTCGGTTCTACTCCAACAATTTTTGAATAATTTTTACTTGGAAATTTCAGTTTACAGGAAGTTTTATTAAGGAAACTGAAAAAATGCAACAATATAACACTTGAATGACACATTCAACTCTGTAGATTAAAACTCCCAAAAGACTAAGGGAGAAACTTAAGTTTCTGTAATAGTTTTGTCTATCATATCAAAGTCTTCTAACTATAAGAGAGATGCGATTAGTAAGGTGACTGACTTATTTTCGTTTATTTCAGCATGGAAAGTAGTAACGTTGAGGTTCTACACTGTTCAAAGCCAGACAAGTATCAGTTACACCTTCACGAAAGTTGTGTCCTTTCTTTGAAGTTTGCATATTGTGGGAAGTGGTTTATCAGCACAGGTAAAGATAATCTTCTAAATGCATGGAGGACACCTTATGGAGCCAGTATTTTACAGGTACTCTATCTTTAGGATCTTTTATCTTCGTAGTTTCTTATTATAAAATTTTTTCCATGATAATTCTAATAACTTAAGTATTTGTTTTTAACATATTGCATTAAAGAGTAATAATATGTATCATTATTTGATGTGTGCAGGTAGGGGAGAAACTTTAAATGTCATCACCTTTTTATAGTGCCAATTAATATGGTGTATATTTGATATCCAGGTTATCAACTGTTCATGGTAGAGGAGAGTAAATACGAGATACAATGTAAATGGATACTGAAAAATTGTAGATTTTTGTTTTGGGGGGTTGTGCAATATGCATACTGTATGATTTTTGTTCTTCACACTAACATCATCTTGTACTACTATTTCTCAGAACCCGAGTCAGACTGATATCCACAACTTACAGACATATCTTGAGGACAAATAATTTTGTAACACATCTGATTTTATTTGTGTGCAACAGACGTGTACATATTGTTAAAATCTTGCCACATTCTGTGTAGATACACTTAGTAAATTCGGAATTATAGCATTCTGTTAACAGTAGTAAAAGATCTTCCACCTATGTTAGATAAATTCACAACACTAGATACAACTTCATTATGGTGTATTTTGTGTTTTTATTACACTGAATATGTAGTTTACTACATTTATATATATATATATATATATTTCGAAAAGCGGATTTCTAATTTTGTTCTGTGTTACTTCCAGTGCAAAGAGACTTCATCTGTGCTCAGTTGTGATATATCGTGTGATGACAAGTATATTGTGACAGGATCCGGAGATAAAAAGGCAACCGTGTATGAAGTGATTTACTAAGACTTGAGAAATACTTTTCTCACAGGAAACGATATGGAGTTTTTTTTTGACAGTTCTACAGGTCTCTCAGAGAAGAACGTACTGCTACTCAGGAATATTGGAACCGAAAGAGACCGCAAGTACTTATGGGGGGGAGGACTTTTGGAATCAGTCTAATTTTGCTTTTATCAACTGAGATATAAAAATATTCATGCCATTAAGTTCTGTACAGAGCTAAAGAAATTGGTAATGGATAGAAATTTGTTTTTCCAACCTTGTGACTCTTGAACGATCTTGTATACCAAAGAACCACTTTTTTATTGCAATTGTGCTCCGTGCAGAATAGGGGATCTTAGAATAATCTTTCAAAAAAATGTCTGCTGGATATTTTGGGATGGGGGTGGGGGCTTTTACGATCAGAAACACCTCATTTAATTACTGTGGATATTAGACTCTGCATTCCTAACTTGTGTCACCCTGTTTCACAGACAAATGAGTTGTTTTAAATATAAGTGTCAGAAGTTATTGTTCATATCAATTGCCCATTTTGATGTGAATAAATATTTTTATTTCAAGCCTTTTTTTTTTTTTACTTGTTCTTCCTTATCATGTGTTTGTAGAATCTCAGAATGTACAGAACTATGTCATCATTGTAATAGATGCCAGAATTGTGCTGTATTAAGTATCAGAATTCACTACAATGAGAAATATAAAGAAAGCCGTTTTCAAACTCCGATATACAGAAGCTGGTATTAAACCCCAATACTCGCGCATTACATTAACTTGAAACCTGTAATGGATGGAAAACTAGAGCTGTATTTTTGCATATCTAACTAAAATGTATAATTAGCACCATAGCGGATATAAATTCCGTTAAGCCTTATTAGTTTGTTCGAAACTGATTGTCCTTGAAGTTTGAGCCGATTTTGCGAAGGTTTTGTTGTTTCAACCAGAATTTCATGCAAATATGCAAGAGGTCTATGGCCGTCTTTAATTTTGAACTGATAAGATTAGAGGAAAGTCAGTTAGTCATCAGCACCTACCGACAATTTTGGATGACCGAATACTGGGATTTTACCGTTATTTTTATCCAGTACTCACAACCCAAATTGCGAAGTGCGTTATTTGCGCTAACGGGATACGAACCAGGGCATGCTAACCACGTCCGATCTGAAATACGCATTGGAAAATATATTTTGTTGCTTGAACGGGCAGTTTCAAGAACAACAGCAACGATATATGTTACTCTTTATTATATAGTTTTTTAATCGTATATTTGCCCCATATTTTATTAATTTGTTGTTTTCATTCGTAGATTTACCCATAACAATTAATGCTAGAGAATTAACCAACTTATTCCTTGTTTACATCTTCCAAATTGCACGTTGTTAAAAAAAAAGGGTGGGTGAGGGTTGTTGCAGAAAATGTGTACAAGATGTTTACCGAGTTTTCAAATACGGATAAGTATTGAACAGACATGACCCACATTATCGTAGAAACTGCTTAACCCTTAAATTAACACTTTCTTCTTGGCCTCGTGTTAAACTGGATCCAAGGTTTGCGTTCCGTTATCATAATAAAACAATTCACGTTCTGCATGCTAGTGCTTTACAGGAGTGATGGTCCAATCCCATTAGAGTAGTCCGACGGTGCTATTAATTAGTCTTATCAGTTCAAAATTAGGGACGGCTATATAGCCCTTGTGTAGCATTGCGCGAATATTATAAACAAACTAACCGATTTGACTTTATACCATTTACTTCCCCTTAAAGTACATATATCGTATTATATTTGTAAATATTATGTTTTTTTTTATCTGTCACAACACTCCAAACATTGTATGGAATCACTCGTTTTCTTCGTACGACACGTATGTTTCTCAAGAAGTAATTGAAATATTGATGGTATTTTTGCTTAATTTGTATTTCTCTGTGTCTGTTACTTTTGCTATTAGCCTGTGACCAACAAAATACCATTTCGGTAATTTGAGGATTTATATATAATATGCACTATTTTTGCATATTTGACTCTCCGTCATAATGATTATTTATCTATTTAACTTACAATAAAGCATGTTGTAATTCATTGGTAATAAGCTTTTAATTGTCGTTTATAAATCTGGGGAGTCCTCCAGTGGGACAGTGATAAATTTACGAGCTTACAGTGCTAAAATTCAGGGTTCGATGGACGTAGAAGATAACCCATTGTGGCTTTGCCCTAAAACAGGTAAAGAAATATAAATTTATGGTGGAACAGCATCTACTATTGTATTTTCGTAATTATATGAATTAAGTCTATACAAAGCCAAGGTCGGACTGGCACTAAACCAAGATCTCGTGAAACTTCCATTATTCAGTATCATATAGAATTAATTAATAAGTAATCTAAATATCTGCTCTGTATCCAACGAAAATGTTTGTTTTAAAATACTTAACGCCAATTCAACTTGGGGGGGGTCAAGTAATAATTCATATAATGGCTGGAGACGTCTTGAATGGGTAATGAAGAAAAACTTTAATATAAGTACAACGTTTGGACAAAACGTTGTACATTTGCTGTTATGTTGAACTTATATTAAAGTTTTTCTTCATTACTCATTCAAGACGTCTCCAGCCGTTATTAGTCTCAAAGTGGGTTCCTATAGCCAATCCTATATAACAAAGTAACTGAACGACCTTAATATGATAAATACATGTCCAAACAAAATGTATAATGATAGGAAGGCATTAAATTATATTAGTTAGGTATCCTCACTATTAAAAATTAATAACATGTTTATTTATAGTTTTATGTAGGCTTATTACAACTTGCTAAGGTTTAAAATGATGGAGAATATTTTTTTTCTTTCAAAAAAGTACCAATAACCATTAGTACCTTAGTTACCATTTAAAAACTTCATTCTTACCAAGTTGACAAAATGGGGGAAAAAAAAATGTGTGAAAGTAGTTTTCAACCATAGGAAATCTGTGAATTTTTCCTCTTGTTTGTCAAAATATTATTAAAGTCCACCTTTCACAAATCGACTGTTTATTTATGCATATATTAAAGCTAATTCTACTATTGTAGCTTTCAACAAACACTCAATTTTATTTTTAAAAGTTCACATACTCACAATAAACAAGCCAGCAGAAACAAAGAACACTTCTATAAGCTTACACCACAAATGTCTTAACTTGCTTGCAGCAAGCGTCAAATATAGCATGAAAATTGTTCAGGAAAAAAAAATACCACATCTGTACAAACGTGTTTAAAACAAAAATCAATGCTTCTCTTTCCTGTTGTAGAAGCAATAACATTATTAATACTTATGTGAATTTCATAAGTGTTTTAGAAGAATCTATTAAGTTTCTTTTTTGTTCATGCAGAAAGTTTTACATGAATCTGCTACCCTACCTTCCCCCTCAAAAAAAAAAAAACTAGATTAAAAGCTAATTGTGAGTATCAAAAACTGTATGTTTAATTTAAGTTTAAAATGTGGAATTTATGACTTTGATTTTCTTTTCATGATCAAACTAATTTAAATGTTTAATGTACTCAGCGTTAATTACATTGTATGTATTCAAGATTGATTAGTTCAATGACTTAAAAGCTAACTTTGAGGTGTACCCTTAATATCTGTCTGTCTGTGACAATAATAAAAAGCATCTTTAATTTTCTCATTGAAAGACTTATTTAACACTATGATCTCCTTACAAAGTTAATCTATATTTGGAATCGGTAAATACATTTTTTCCCTTTAGTATGGTTAAGCAGAGTCAACTTGTCTAGGTAAGTTGTTCAGTTGGATAACCAGTTTTCATTTCATTTACATCCTCCTTCATGTGGCAAATTGTCACAGGAATCTTGGTAAACCACCAATTTTCACTAGTCAAATGTGTTGGTAAAACAGGGTTACATTGTCAGCTTAAAATTGAAAAGCCCACATTTGTTTTAGTTTCAACAGAATGACACAGGATTGTTAAAACACAGCAGCTGGCTACAATGTAATGTCATTTCTTATCATGATTTTTACAAATTCATTTTTTTTTATTAAACAGTGTTAAAAATAAATGGTAAGATTAATCAGGGTATTTTCTGTTAAAAATAATAATTTTAAAAATTTGGTTGTACATAAAAGGTAAATCATTGATAGATATGTTTGTTAATAGATATCATTACAACTTTTGTAATTCATCCACACCAAATGCACATTATCATAACAACACTGTATAGAGGTAACTATGCTCTGGGTACAAATGCAAACAAAACAATGTTTGACAATCCCACTAGCACAGAAAACATGGGATGTCTAGCACTTACTGTAGGCCAAGCTATTCTCTAATATATAAATGTTCTGAACCACATACTTGCCTAGACCAACAAGAGTGCTAAATTCACGACTCCATCTGTACCTTTTTACTTCTAATAATGGTATTGAGGGCACTGGTTAAAAGAGTATAAAAACCAACCCTTAAAAGAACATAAAATATGCATGACTTACTAAAAGCCTTGCCATAGATTTCCTAGGGTCACTAATAAAAAAATTCAGTTTGTTTTATGCTATCTTACTAAAAATAAGTAGTCTTTTAATTAACTGTAAAGAAAAAATATATAATTTCTTTACTGAAATATTAGAAGATTTATTAGTTGAAGTACAAGTTATTATTAAAAAGCACTGACTAAGTGGATTAAGTCTTCCATTTTTTATATTTCAGATAATTAAAATAATCTTCTATTATGAATTTCCCCAGTTTTTAATTAATTACCAACTACAAGCATATTAATCTAATCAACATTTGCAATATCTTGTGGTGTAGAGTTTCCTAATGCATCAGAAAGACTGCAGTTAAATTTTAATTTTCTCATTTTTTTTCTCATGTTTTTCATTATCTTAAAATGAAGCATTATGCTATTTCTTGTAAGAATAAGAAACAATGGGATATCCTAATAATTTGTTATATTCATAAATATTTAGTACTGTACTGACTTAATACATATTTCTTTATAATCCTCTATTAATCTGAGTACTGTATGCAAGAAAACTTTCCATCAAAAAAAATAAAGTAACTGAAAAACCTAAAACATGTCCTGAAACAGTTTCATAATTTGTGAAAAAAAAAATACATAAATCAAATTACTTTATATCTTCCATCTAGTAACGTTTTCACATAAAAGAATACAGCCAATAAACCATAATCATGGTTGATTTCAATTACCTTGTACAGTGGTGGTTAGAACTACAAAACCAAATAAGTAAAAAACATTTTTTGTACCTGCAAAAAAAAACAAACTTCAAACCAAAACTTTGTGCTTTAAAACATCATAGACACTCAGGTACATACAATAATTGTTAGGTTGTGATGCATGTGGTATTAGAAAAATAAGTCCACTTTGCTTCTCTTCAGAACAATTAATGGTAAAGGAACACCAAAAAATACCAGATGAACTGTCTCTGCCAGCTAAACAAATAGTCTAGTCACTGCTAATGATGTTTCCTAAGGAATACCGACTAGCAAATCAAGGAACGGGTTTTCTGTCAATGTATATCATTTCTTGGGTTTACCTAGTTCAGTTTAAAACACAATTCATACTATCAATCACCAATATGAATTCATCTCTCTTCTCAAGACAAATAATCTGATGAAAGTTTACACAGACACATGAAGAGCCACAGAGCTTCACATTCAGTCTTTTGGTAATATAGGTATACTACTATACAGGAAATCTTGTGCAGGTTGGTTCACATACATAGGAAACTTCACCAAAAGGCCGCATGAAACTTCAGTAGATCACCTCATAAACTGTAGCTTTTTTGTCACCAGATCCTGTCACAATATACTTATCATCTGAAGAGATGTCACAGCTCAGCACAGAAGAGACTTCTTTAGACTGGAGGGAAGATAATAAGAGCCATGAAAGACTGTATAAAGCAGGATACACAGCAACTTACTTATACTGTTAGCCCTTCCTCAAATATTTTACTATCAATATTGACACCAATTTGTTGTTAAGACACTCAACTTAACTTCCCTAATATATTCAACTTCAGTTAATGTTTCTTTTACAAGTTATTTAACCAAAAGGCAAAAAACTTTTGTCTTTGTTATTTGTAAATAACCAAGATCTTTTGCCATGAAAAGTAAACAGGAGGGTTTTAGAAAATGTCAATTAAGTAAAATAAGTAACTTTATTGTCTATGTTGCATTGATTCCTGTTTGGTATTTTAATTTTTTAGTATGGAAAACAGCAATGTAGAAGTACTGCATTGTTCCAAGCCTGACAAATATCAGTTACACCTCCATGAAAGTTGTGTTTTGTCCTTAAAATTTGCTTCTTGTGGAAAGTGGTTTGTCAGCACTGGCAAAGATAACCTGTTAAATGCTTGGATAACACCTTATGGAGCAAGCATTTTTCAGGTGAGTGATTATTTTTTATGCATTGTATTAATTGTTACCTAAACATCTTACTCCATTTAAGAAACGTTTTTGCTTCTCAAGTTTAAGGTTCTGAGACTACATGTAAACTATATTTATAGAGAAGGAAAATTTATTACTCTAGACAACCATGGAAAACCTATTTGAGTTCTGAATGTAATTTGTAACCTTTTAAAGCTACCAAGAGGTACCATGGAAATAACTCATACATCTACATATCAAAACTATAAATAGTCAATCCTGGTTAGGTGTTGTAAGAGAAAAACAAAAGATTCGGTTTACTTTTCAGCAAAAAAAAAATAAAAAAATAACAAGTATATGTTTGAATAAACTATGAATAATTTATTTGTAGTCAATAAAACTGCAGCAAAATCAAAATAAAACACCTCAAACTATAACTTTATAAACTTCATCTTAAATTTAATTAAGATATAAATACAAAAAACAGAAAAAAAATGAATGTTACATTTTTATTCCAGTACAGTATTTTCTTATGGTGAATTGCGTTTACTAAGGACTTACCCTACAGCAAGCCAGTCTCCAGTAGGGCAGTAGCCAAGAGAAAAGATCTGAGATGTAAAGTCATGTTGTTGAAGCTGACGGCCCTATAAGTACATAGAAAAAATTACTTCTTTTTTTTTAATTTCAACACAATTGTAAAAATTAAATGCCAAACTATTGCATTTTGTAATCCTGAATAATCCATTGTCGTTACAAAATATATATTCAATAACAAAAAATTATCAGTGTTATCAAATTAAATTCTTTATTACTAGGTTATTGTTTTAAAAAATTTAGAGATGTTAAAAGTAAACATTTATGTTATAAATATTCATTAATCCAAATGAACAATGGAAATGAAAAGTCAACTTCTTTAATGTTCTTAAAGTGGACTTTACTGGTTAATATAGTTGATTATTTTTATATGAGAAAAGAGGATTGTATTGTTCAGTATTCTAGTCAGTTTTACCCCTTAAAGTTTAAGAACAGAATTTCATGTTTAATCTTCCAACCAATTTAAGGTAATAGAATAGACCATGTTATTAAATCTTCTAGTCAGTTTTACCCCTTAAAGTTTAAGAACAGAATTTCATGTTTAATCTTCCAACCAATTTAATTCGCTGAGGTAATAGAATAGACCATGTTATTAAATCTTCTAGTCAGTTTTACCCCCTTAAAGTTTAAGAACAGAATTTCATGTTTAATCTTCCAACCAATTTAATTCGGTGAGGTAATAGAATAGACCATGTTATTAAATCTTCTAGTTAGTTTAACTCCTTTAGAAACGGACTGGATTGTTTAATTCTCCAGTCAATCTTCAAGTTAACTAGAATATTATCAACAAAAAGAAACACTGCAAGATTAATAACTTTCACTACGAATTGAAGAAGGCCTCAGTAAAGAAGCTGAAATACTGCCCTTCTCTAGTAACAGGCAGAAGTAAGTCATTAAAACCCAAACTCTATTTTAAATCCACATACCTCCCTGAGGTCCCATGAACGTACTGTATTATCTAACCCTCCTGTCCACAGTTTAGTTCCGTCACTGGATATATCTATACAACTAGCACCATCTGTATGGCCCTGAAATTGTCTGTTAATAGAGGGCGTATTAAAAATATTGTTTTATCTAATCCGTTTTATTATTTATTTAAAGCTGCTAAAAATATAAACAAAATAAATTTCATTAAAATTAAATCTACGATATCACGTGCACAACAACTTTATCTTGGTGCAGGCAATTAAAAACAAAAAGCTAACAATATTTTTGCGACACTTTTGGAAAATATATATATTTTCTTTTACATTTGTAATAAAACACTAAACCACTCATGATTTGACAACTGTTTACTCATACACCTGTTCATACATTTGCATCTGCTAAAATTTTAACATGCACATTCAGATTATAAAAACTGCAAGCTACTCAACAATAATCTGATGGCTATACCTGACAAGTTTTTCATTATGAAGATCCCACACAGCAATGTTTCCATCACTACAGCAGCTGAAGCAGACTTTGGAGTCCGGGCTGATAGCGAGAGCGTAACAAGCAGGGGCACTAGATGTCAGTTCAGCCTTGATACGTGGTGTTGGCTGTAGAAACAGACAAAGAGTATGGTGTCAATACTGTTTGATTTATCGTCTTTGCATAAGTACTGAAACTGAACCCGGACAGTGTGTACAAAACAACTTGGGCACGTATGCACACGACTAAGCACACAACATGAATGTATCTATGTACTTCGTCGATGACGCCGTGAGTAACTGATAGCTTGGGTGCAGGGAATGGGAGGGGTGGGGGGAATGGCAGCCTGATATCAAATATTATATATCCTCTCAAACTGAATACAGAAATAACATTCACATCTTGTAGTTGATTTATTGAAATGTATTTTTAGACTACCTAGAGATTCATGTTTGCTAATTACTCGCAAATATAATCTGTTTTGGACTTTTAGCCTCTTATAAAGGTTTGGAGATGGCATATACATTTTTTGTTTTTCTTAATTTGCTAATTCAACATAAATTTTTAACATATCAGCATATCGCAAAAACAACTAATCGCTACTTCTGTCAAAGTGAACTGTATTGATAAACAAAGCTACTTTTTTTTTGAAGTTTTGTTTGTTTATTTTAGAGCAATGCCACATTAAGCTATCTGCTGTGTCCGGATATTAGCGTTGTAAGTCCATAAACTTATCGCTATCCCACCGGGAGACCCTTTTTTGAAGAACACATTGCTTTATAACGTAGGTTTGTTTAAGTTTCGTACTTCTAAACGATCAAACAAGACTTGTAATCTAGTCTCTTATTTTTTATTTTTTTTTTGCTGCCTATGACAGAACAAATAATTTCCACATCATTTATGGATTATTTAATATATCAAGAAAAAGCTTCAACGTGCCACGAGGGCGCTAAATACGTTGAATAATGTATAAAATCAAAATATTTTCAAACTTCTAAATTTGTACTTACAGCGCCTAGATCCCACACGCAAATTGTACTCGCCTCTCCACCTACGATTAACGTTCGGCCATCCGGAAGGAGCTTGCACGAGCGGATGTAATTGTCTCGTTGCTGGAAAGTTATAGAATATATACACAAAACAAAAACGATAAAAATAAGTTTAATGTAATTTTCATAATGCATCAATTACTTTAGCTAAATTAGCATTTTAGCTATTGAATTACCAGTTTATTAAGATAATAAAAACGTTCTGAGGCCGTAAATACCGTTTTAATAACAACAAAGACGTGCGCCAATCCACGAGGTAATACAGTTTCATACTTTAATGTGTAAACAATTCCTTTCATCCTTTAACTGAATGACGTACTAGTGAGAATTATGTCACTATTTAGAAAATACTTTAGTAGTTATAAATCCACCCCACTGCGTTAGAGAGTATAAAACATCTCCATTTAAGGTAATACAGTTTCATACTTTAGTGTGTAAACAATTCCTTTCATCCTTTAACTGAATGACGTACTAGTGAGAATTATGTCACTATTTAGAAAATACTTTAGTAGTTATAAATCCACCCCACTGCGTTAGAGAGTATAAAACATCTCCATTTAAACATTAAAACAGTCCAGTAAATTCATTCCTATGCAAGTTTTTTTTTTCCTTATGCCAATTTGTAATTTACGCTTTTAAAAATATCAACTTACCAAACAGTCAAGCTGGGACACTGGGGTTTTACTACCAGGTTGACTTATGTCCCACACCTTCACACAACCCTGCAAAGAATTTGGTAATAATCGACATTTTAACAGTTTGGTAGAAAATAAAACGGTGAAAATTTGATTATTCATTTTATTCACAACCACCCTAAAAACAACAACAACACTATGAAGCTGGGACTCTGGGGTTTTACTACCAGGTTGACTTATGTCCCACACCTTCACACAACCCTGCAAAGAATTTGATAATAATCGACATTTTAACAGTTTGGCAGAAAAGAAAACGGTGAAAAATTGATGATTCATTTTATTCACACACACCCCTCAAAACAACAACAACAACAACACTATGTTCTTACTCAATTTGTTTTTAATAAAATATTTTGTTTGTACAAATGAAGCTTTAAAGTTTTCTCTTCATAGGGAGGGCTAAAAACTGATATTTGTAAATCACGCCCTCCACCCCCACCCATCAAAGAAATAAAAAGAAGGATTTTCAGGGACCAAGTATTTCTTTCTGTCACTGATTTGACTGATCCAAGTCAGCTTGCAGCTTCCTTTATAATTGAATACATGTATATTTACTTCACATACGTGATAAATGTTAGTATATTAAATAAGCACGCAATGTGATTGCACCTCGGACCTAATCAAATATGAAATAACTCCAGATACGTCAGTATACTTTGATGACGTTTCTTTAATTTACAATTGCGTGCAAGTTTATCACGATGTTTTTTTGTTGTTGTTTTTCTTATCCTAGTACCGAATTTAAAAGTTCACACTCACCTTCCCACCAGTGTAGACGTACTTCGTAGGACTACTAATCGTCACCGCACAAACCACTTCACCATGGCTGAGGGTGTTAATCTGTCGGGCATGACGCGGTATTCCTGGACCAATCAGAGCGTCGGGAGGAAATGGGACGGGTTGCATCTGTCCATCAGCGCTCACGTGGAATGAATAAGCTCTGTTGAAAAGAAATTTCCATATAATTTATTGCATACATAGGAAATAAACTAGAATCAGTTAACGCATATTTTTGTTTATTTTAGAAAAAAAAAAATTGCAGCGTCTTCGCAACCTTTTCAATAAAAATACGTGCCAGTTAATAACCGGATTTCTATTTCATCAAATGACTGTATATGAGCCTGTTATTACCAGTGAAATTAAGTATTTTTCAGATGAAACAAATTCATTGTTAATACCCTACATGAATAAAACAAGGTTCCCTTTTGCAAGTGTATATTATTTTTTATGTAAAGAAATGGTTAAATATCCAAGTAAGTAAACAGACAGATACAGAGATAATGTAATCTATTCTGTAGAAGGAAAAAAGTATGAATAAAATTATTTAAACATTACTTACTGTTTGTCACCTAGAATAGATCCGGGTAAATAAATAAACATACAGTACTTAACAGCAAATGAAAAATAAATCAACAACAGAGAAATATTTTAGTAAAATTATCAAAAAATTACTTACTGTTTGTCACCAGAAATAGATCCAGGAAAATAAATAAACATACAGTACTTAACAGCAAATTAAAAAGAAATTAACAACAGAGAAATATTTTAATAAAATTATCAAAACATTACTTACTGTTTGTCACCCGAAATATATCCAGGAAATTAAATAAACATACGGTACTCAACAGCAAATTAAAAACAACAACAACAACAAAAAAAAACAACAAATATTAAATAAAATTATCAAAACATTACTTACTGTTTGTCACCCGAAATATATCCAGGTAAGTAAATAAACATACGGTACTCAACAGCAAATTAAAAACAACAACAACAAAAAAAACAAATATTTAATAAAATGATTAAAACATTACTTACTGTTTGTCACCTGAAATAGACCCAGGTAAGTAAATAAACATACGGTACTCAACAGCAAATTAAAAACAACAACAACAAAAAAAAAACAAATATTAAATAAAATGACTAAAACATTACTTAGTGTTTGTCACCTGAAATAGACCCAGGTAAGTAAATAAACATACTGTACTCAACAGCAAATTAAAAACAACAACAAAAAACAGATATATTAAATAAAATGATTAAAACATTACTTACGGTTTGCCACCTGAAATTGATCCAAATCCTGGGGGTCTGATGGCCGGATGAGATTCGTAGGCAACCTATAAGTAATTACAAACAGCGTTTTAAAATAATAATTGAAGACAATTGATTTTTCTTTACACGTGAAAATAACTATTTTAAATTAACACGATAGAAAGGATTAACATAAACACGTTACTAATCTGCGAATTTTCTAACCTATACCTGTAAGTATTTCATAGTTTAAATCACAATTATTTATCATAGCAAAACAATGACATTTTGCTACGTGTTTCGACTGCATGGGTTTGAATCATCATCATCATCATAATGCCTGATGATGATCCTGAGAAATTTGTTTGAAACATGTAGCAAGATATCTTTGTTTGGCAATAATTGTGGATTAAGAGGTGTATTAATTAAATGCCACAAAAGTAAACAAACTAACTCTTATAACTATTTTAACCAAGAGCTTACCACAGATCGAGGGTAGGAATTAAGAGCAGGAGATAAGCTATTATGCAGAGCCCCTTGTGAATAACCCGCATTAGAACTGAGGTCAGCTGCAATGGGAGGGTGAGATCCCGATGGTCCCCCTGGCAGCGGATAAGCATATGGTGCACCTGTGGGTGTATATATATATATATAATTAGAAAGAACAGCGAAGACATTTATTTTAATTATACAGCAGCTTCATAATAAGCTCTATTTTATCTTTACCATAAATCTCCATTATAAACTATTTTCGTATTAACTTTGTCTATTCTCCTTTGTATAACAGAGTTATTTATAATTTTACTCCTTATTCTAGGTTCCAGGAACTCCTTGTAATCAGTAAAGGTATAGTCGTTCAATACAAAGATGCCTTACAGGACACCAAGTTCACTAAATTATAGAGATATAAATTTAGTTAAAAATGGTTTGTTGGTATTGTTGTCTCAAAATATTGGATAGTTAGTACACATTTAGGTTGTGTTTTGCATAATTAAGAGAAATTTTAGACAATATTTAAGACCACTTTTGTTTTATTATTTCATGGTTTTACATTAGCAGTTGATCAAAACATACTCGTCCTACCAAGTGAGGGTGGTTTCGCCACACCTTTGAGGTTATTAGGACCAGGGTTGGTCATTCCAGAACTTGTTGGAGTCATTGATTTAGATACAGGAGTAGGCGGTTTGTCGTTCTAGATGAAAAAAAGGGAGAATCGTTGGTAACTTTACACAGTTATGGATGCTTCACAAAACCGATTTCAGTATTAAGTTTAAGCCTAAACGAAACTCCTATTTTTATAATTAAAAGTTATCATCCTGGAAAAGAAAACCAATTTTTTTTTTATCATGTTGACTTTCTGTCCATTGGGAAAAAAAAACACATGACACCGGACAATAAACCCACAAATTACATTTCCAATACATTCTTCGGTTAAAGATCAACATACCATATGTTCTTTATGCTTGGATGGAACAGGTGTTCCTCTACTGGAAGAGGATCCACTCCTGCTGGGAGGTCGTTCCCTCTTGACTGCCCGGTCAATTCCATTTTCTCGTGGGGAAGTTTGTCGATTTGGTGGTGGTGAGATAGGGTCCTGTGCAAAAATTCAATTTCAGAAAACGGCACTTTGACACAATTGTAATATGAACTTCAAAACGACATGCTGTCAAATATTGTACCTATTATTACTAACGTATTCTCTTCCTAATTTTCACTGTTTGCTTGATGCTTTCCTAAGAAAATTCGAAACTAAATAATATGCTCCTAAAAATAAGGAACTAACTAAAATGAATTAGTGTATGAATATGTAGTACCAAAGTAACAAGGACAATTTAAAGGAACGTTCTAGAAATACAACAAAACAGCGAAATGTTCACTACCGAGAAAAAATTATAAATGTGAAAGAAATTGAGCCGATTTAATTAAATACAACAATAAGATTTTAAATAAAATCAACACCAGAAGGTCCTAACCTCATTGGCGACATCCACAACAAGGTCTTGGTCGCTTTTCTCATCGTCACTGCCCTGTGGGATTGAAGAACAAAGTGCCAATAGCTAGTCTGTTTATACACACAGGGAGCACTTTGGATAAATTGGTAAGATGAAATCGTACCAGAATTAAATATCTATGAAGTTAGAACTTTCAAAGTGATCATAACTGACGTATCTTAACGGTATATGATTATCGTGTATAATAAGTCTACGATAACATTAGATAAATTTCTTTATTTGTTTTAACCCAAAGCTACACAATGGACAATCATCTGTGCTATGCTCATAGTGGGGAAATGAACTCCGGATTTTAACATTGTAAGTCTGTAAACTAACCGTTGACCCACTGGAGGTCATGTTAGATAAGAGGAACTTGTAGACTATGGTTTTTTTTTCTTGTTTGTATATAATTTATATGTCTGTATTGTTGTTGACCAGAGGGAGTTTTCACGTCACGTAAAGGGCTTGATCTAATGACTAGAACTTTTTGAGTCTGTTATAATGGTGGAATGTTTGTCGAGTTAGCTATCTTGTTAATCGGTTTGTCTCTTACTTGACTTACATTAATATTGAGCTTGTGTTTCATTGAAGTACTAGAGATACAGTATGCATAAGAAAATTAGCAAGTAAGTGAATGTTTAGCGTTATTTGTGAAACTAGATCTATTTTTAAATCGTGAAACAGTGTAAGCAGTGCTTAACGTGTGGTTGTAGGTATGTATATTGGTAAGAAAAATCATGGCAGCATGGTATACCAGTAAAAACTATATATATGTATGACTATACTGCTGTAAACACCCTAACCCAACTTCTATGGTTTCGCACGAAAAAACGTTTGGCTTTAGTTCTCTGCAACTACAGAACGCGTATGTTTAACCTCAGATCCCTGCCGTTATTCTCCGTTAACACCAAACTGCCCCACAACAATACGTGCATATCACATGATTGTGTAACACATTCACTAAAGAAGTTCTGCATCCTGCACATTTATTGATACACATCAATATACGTAGTGGTAAGCTTTGACGATGATGATCGTAGGCCTATGAAGGTTATTCCACCCTCCTAATGTTTCATAAGTAACATAATACAATAAATTATAACATAAATAAAACTAAACGACGTTTCCGATCGTTTCGCGTAATACTGCAATGGGGCGCGTGGGGCTTCTAGCAGTTAACTCATAGAAGTTCTCAAAGATTACCACGCAAGCCCTTTTAACAGGTGGATTTTAAAAATCCAGCTCATTCCGATGAAACAAAGTTAAAATTATAGCAGCGGGGAAGGTTTTTAAATCATTATTTACGAGGTATAAAATTCCACCAATTTCTTGTTTGTGAGCATTGTTGTAATACATTTTACGTTTACAGAACATTAAACTATTGTTTTATAATTCAAACTAAAGAAAACAGTCTAGAAAATTATCTTCTTGCATAAAAGTCGACATAATTTATTTTCAACGTATTGTTTTGACGAAACTAGTAAATGCAGGAAAGCGAACTCAGAGGAATATGGCACCATTTTTTGTTTGTTTTTTCAACAAGTTCTAAGAGTTTCAAGAAACTGACAACCATCCACAATAAAGATATTGAGTCCTGACACTCGGGTCGCTTGGACAAGAATAGTTTGTTTGTTTTGTATGTTCGCGAGGACTTACACGAGGTTTAACTGTGCTTGACGTCCCTAACTCTGTACTGATAGACTGGAGGGAAGAAAGACAATCAACAGCAACCATCGTTGACTCTTGCACCATTCCAACCAAATAGTGTGATTTACTCTAACTATAACTCAAAAGCGCGCTGCGTAATTTGAAAGCAACGGAAAGCGAGCCATGAACTTTGGAATTTACAGTCCGGCGGGTTAGCCAATAGCCCAGGCCCAACCCCAAAAAGAAAAACAATAAAATAACGCTAAGATAAACGACGGAAATGGGCGAACGTCCGTTACAATCCCATTCTAACCAGTGACGTAAACTTTAAAAGAGTTATCGTTCTAACACGTGGAAATCAAGGAATACGTAACTGAAAGCAGTTAAGAAAATATTAATTCAAATAAGAATCAGATTTATGTTGTGGCTCATGAGAATTCCTTTACGTCTGAACTCATGTCACAATTCTTAAACTTACACTCCGATCTCAAAGCTAAAGGAGTGGAAATCCCAGGAGCAGATAAATAGAGTTGAATCTTCTAGATTCCACAGTTACTAAAGGCAGGCCGTAAGATTGTTATCGAACAACTTAATGTTGTCGGATAATTTAATGTAAACATGACCTTAGCCTCACTTGCAGATTTTTTTTTTCTTTGTAAAACTTCAAACTCAGATCTCTACGACTAAAATCAAAGCGAGACATACGTGATCCGGCTTTTCCTCTCGTCTCCGTTTTTTGTCTAGGTCTACATCTGGTGAACGACTTCTCAGTTTGTCCCGTTCGTGGGGAGAGATAGAATTACGCTAGAACACCATGAAATTACGAATATTAGACAAACTACTAAAACCTTACAATAGAATCAATCTAAAAACATAATGAACATCAAAATAAACTTAGGAATTATAAGAGTTGTGAAATAATAAATTTTGTACATAATATTTACACATTATGTATAATTAGAAGCAAAAAATAATATTTAACTTATAAAAAGCTGAATTAAAATACAAAGTATATTTCTTTGAACTAAAATTCTTTATTTGGTTCGTAAAGCAGAACCTTACAACAACACTGGTATTCCTTTTCGACTAAAGTGATTTATACCCTGAAAAAAAACCCAAACATAACTGTTGATATTCAAAAAATGTTTGCACGATACGAAGTTTGAGAAGAAATTATTTCGAGGAAGGGTTGTGATTATATACAATATTACAGTATGTAATGTAGCATTCTTATGCTGTACTGTAGCACTCTTAATATTATTGTGGTATTCTTATGCTGTACTGTAGCACTCTTAATATTATTGTGGTATTCTTATGCTGTACTGTAGCACTCTTAATATTATTGTGGTATTCTTATGCTGTACTGCAGCACTCTTAATATTATTGTGGTATTCTTATGCTGTACTG